TGCTTTATTCGGAAGCGGAAAGAGTTGATATCAGGTACACTACTGCTAAAGGTTATAGTTTAATCTTTCTTTCTTTTTTACAAGCTCAAGGAGATACTTTTTATTTAACTTTATACTAAGGGTGCATTCATTTAGTAGAAAACGAACTATTTTGAAAACATTTTCAGAAAAATAATCGATTTTATCGCTTGCAAAAATAAATGAATGGAAAATTTTTTCATTGCCTGCGAAAATAGTTAGGCATAGATTGTTATCGATAATGAAAACATATTCCGTTGACTAATTTTTCTAAACGATATAAGCAATCATTTTTTGGAAAATATTTTCCAAATCACTCATTTTTCATGAAACAAACGCACCCTAAAAGTCTGGCAGTTTGTCAATGATAATTGTTATAGTTCAACTCTTAAAAATTTTCTTTCAAGACGGGGTTTGGGACTTAAGGGTAATTTATCTTAGATTAAGTGAACTTGGAAGGTGGGGGCATTGAAAAAAAGACAGCATATATAGTATATAGTCTCAACAAGATGACTACACGTATCTTAATCAAGAATGGAGCGTGTAGATAAGAATATGATTAATAAGCCTAACGAAGGATCGATATCCCTTTGAACCAACTTTCCTTCCATCCCGTTGGCTTTGAGAGCTTCCTCTTGAAACTCGGAAAGTAAGATTGATAGGGAGTGAAAGAATTCATCTTTTCACATAAATCAAAGGTTTTTTTTTTTTTTTGTAATTAACATGAGTATCCAAGCCTTGCAACTCGACTTATCCTTACGAATACACACAAATCGATCATTCACGTGTATCACCTAAGGCTTCACCCATAAAGGGCCGGGCATGGCTCCCAAGGTTAATAGGAATGGATGACACTGTGATTTGAACACACGATCTACTAAATCCAAATCAAGTGATTAACCACTCAGCCAATCACTTAAGAGTTGAATAAACCAAAGTTCCAAGCTCTCATTCTTTAGATAACAATAAATTCAAGAAAACAAGAAATAACATGCCTCACAATGTGAGCAAGTAAGAAGAATGTGCACATACCTATTGGTACCCACTAACTTATGCGAGTCGTGACAACAATCCACTAATCAAGGCTGCTTTTTCCCTTTTGAACATGAGAAACGAATAGCTAAAGCCTCACCTACCAACTTCAGTTTTTGGGTCGAAAAGCAACACCCTTGATGACTAGCCCCTGCTTCCAATTAGCACTGCATTCTGATATACGAAATGTGATTTCTCCGATATTTTCGGACGAAATCATGAATTCGCTCATTAAAATGTTTTTCCACTTTCCTCAGGGCATATCCTGCAAACTCTCCATGCGTTCCAGTTTCGACGCATCCGGTAGAGTAAGGTTGATGTTCACGGGAACGCCCCAACCCTGACTTGACTCAGTCATTGATGCCACCAACGAGACTTCATACAAGGTCTTTGGAGAGAGCATGATCGTTCGGAACTTCCCACTGATTTCCAGCAAGCACGCACTTCTCAGTTCAGCTACCTCAACATCCACATTACTGTGAAAATTAAAATTCAATGTTAGGGTTGGACTTTTGCGGAAGAAGAATCGCTAATGTGTTCACTGCCCCATCAAATTAGAGGATGAAATGGAAAAAAATAAAAAATAGCTACACATGAGTTGCTTCAATAGATTTTCCTAGTGCAGATCATATTTGCATAAGAAGCGCTTGCCGGAACAAAGGGACAATTGTGTTGCAAGTGGAATAGAATAGCAAGGAATGAGATCCACGCAGGAAATGAACTATTATATAGAATTTCCAATACTACATTAGAATGTCCAAGCCAAAAATTTGAACCAATGGTCATAAATACTTAACTTCACATGTTAACTAAAAGGATAGAAGATTGTTAACCCTCTCAAAACACTCCATCACCGGTTAAAAGGCGAAAATGATAATAGCTTTTATATGATAAACAATCTGTCATGAAATAGTTAAATTCACATGCCTGTGAATTTTCTTCTACAAGTGCATTGACCAAGTACCAGAACAGAAACATCCGTACTTTTCGATTAGAGCTCGTGTACTTCATGTTTTGCACAAGTTGGTATACAGATGAACATAAATTATTCAAACGAAGCAGCAGGGAGCTAAAAACAAACTACAAGTCATTGCAGCCTACGACCTGAACGCGCACAAGAGGTGAATTCGCTTTATTTTGTCCAAGATAAAGAAAATTTGATAACAACGAGGAAATCAAACGTTTTTTTTTTCTTTTTTAGCAAAGTTTTCCAAGAGAAATGATGATCTCATTTTCTTTGTTCTTTTCTTTTTTTTTTAGAATATTGACACCTCTCACCCGGACTCTTTGACGGTCGTCCATCCCCAGTACTGGTCGGAGTCGCCCCATGTAATTGCAAGCTCCCTCGCAAACACCATGAAGCAATTCTTGTTCAGATGCCTGTCGACCCAGTACTTCTGAAAGGATGAAATTTCGTAGTCATTTCTACAATTACAGCATAGATCAAAGTCCATATAAAATGCTCTTTTCTTTTTCAATTTAGAAGGAAGGTAATAAAAATCGTGCGTGTGTGTGTGAGAGAGAGTGAGAGAGAGGCTCACTCTCTTTCCCTGTTGCAAAACCACTCCGTCGTAGAGCTGATCGCAGAGCATGTCGAGAGAGGAAGTTTGAATGGGCACGTCAGAATCTTTCACGATGGCCACGTAATTGTGTGGAGGTCTTGTTACTCTTGCCTCCACTGTTTGGTTAGGCGTCTGTGAGCCCATCTCTTTGGCTTCTTCATGGATCTCAGCTTCAGCTTCCATGTCAGGAGGTGGCCAATGTTGCTCCTGTGTCAAGGGTGTAGAGAGAGAGAGAGAGAGAGAGAGAGAGAGAGAGAGAGAGAGGAGCTACCCGTTTCATTTATCCCAAATTATATCGATGGACCCACTATTAATAGTTGTAAAAGTAAAGGTTAATATCACGAAAAACTTCAAACTGGTACACATGTGAAGAAATTTATTCCAATTTAATTTTTTGACTATCAAAAACACCAAACTGGTACACATGTGATGAATTTACCCTCCGTTAAATTTTACCGTCAAATTGCTGAATTGGATACACGGGGATTTTTTCAGAGACAAAAAAAAGTTCGGAGCAGATTTGGGACTGAACCTAAAGTTTGGGGTTTTTTTCGAGACAAAAAAAAGTTTGGGGCAGATTTGGGACTGGACCTAAAGTTTAGGATTTTTTCTTAGACAAAAAAAAGTTCGGGGCAGATTTGGGACTTGACCTAAAGTTTGGGGTTTTTTAGGGAATTCACCCCTGTCTTTTTCAATAGAAAACTTTCTTTGGGTTACCCTCTTGATCAAAACTTGAAATATTCATAAACTAAGCACAAATAAATTATCTGTACTTATGTAAAGTCGTGGATGCATTGAAGAGAGAAGCCATAATGTTTGCCTTCAATTCCACAAGGTTAATATAGAAGCTCACAAACTCTTTTCTCGGTATGACAAAAAAAAAAACTCTTCTTTTCGGAATAAACAAACCTTCATCCATTTATGTACAGGGTTGATATAACAAAAAACCTCAAACCGGTACACATGTGACAAATTTACCCAAAACTAATTTTTTGACCACTAAAAACTCTAAACTGGTACGCCTGTGATAAATTTACCCTCTATTAATTTCCGTTAAATTTTACCATCAAATTGCTGAGTTGGATGACACGTGGCAGTTGACAGGTGTATCAGTTAGGGTTTTACCCTTCTGTTTGTCACAGATTTACCATTACCGTCGAATTAGTTTTCTTTCTTGTCACCTCTCATAAATTTACTACGTTGCAAGTAGGCTTTCAAACCTTAACCCCGACTTTGTTTGCATCAACCGACATCCTCCAAATGAGTTTACGAAGCAAACACGGCCATGGTTTCAGAGCTAGGAACTGGGTTTCTCCTGAGTCTTGAGGGATGTTCCACGAAACTTTCTGACCACAGCATCTATTATACAACATATAGAAACTGGACGATGAAAAGTTGACATGTTGTAAATTGGTATTGCCTGAACTACATATCTGATTAAGGTTCATCTAACTGCCCGGAGCTAGTAAGCCATTTTATCATGAAAATTGGAACCATACATGTGCTACCTTGTTTGTTTAAAGCTAGACTAGTCTGAGCTTGTGAAACGATATTGCGCCCTCTGCATTTTCTCTCCACTTAAAGATGTTGTCTTTGATAAAAATTTCTCTGACTTGACATGCAGTAACGTAACATGACCACGTCTGTGTGAATTCTGTACGGTCTGAACTATACTGTATCTTTCTGCATCTGTAGGATCCATTTTACAAGCAAGAGCAGAAGCAGACTGATGCACAAACATTGGCGAAGTGATTATGGGGAGGTGAACTTCACTCCTTTCATTTTCTTCACGGTGTTCCAAGTTTGGTTCTGTAGAAATGTATATGACTTGGGATCTCTTACCAGATTCTGCGGGACGATCTTCAATCTAGTTTGTCAAGGTTCTTGAACCTCGTGTTCGAAAAAAAGGCTAAAATTAAATTTCATCGGAGCACGTGCGGGAATAATTGCTATTACCTGCTGGCTTAGGTTACGAGGGTAGAAGTATCAGCTAACAAACAGAGGCCCCAAGGCTGCAGGAGGAGAGTAGAGGATGAGTAGGGGCAAAAATGTGTTCTCAGGACATGCACGACCGACAGGAGCATCCATTTTATTAATAACTTCCGAAGAGCGCTTATGCCTGTACTTAATTTTACCCAGCCTTCTTGCGGTGGGGAAGAACTGCTCTTTCGCATCATTTAGAGGGCCATTCGTAATGATACTGACTTGACAAAGTTGATTGGAAGGTCCAAAGACAAGCAATATAATGTCTTACAAGGATTTTATGGTACCATTAAACATTAACATCTACTGATGAAACAAGAAAAAAAACCAGCTTTGAATATCATAATATCTACTCATGCTCTGACTTGAGTCCAATTATCTTTTTGATCATGAAACACAGACAGCTATTTACATGACATGGCAAACTACCAACAATAATACAACAAGGGTATGGTCTATTTGCCTATGTGAATCTTATCTTCATGGATGTTGCAGCGCGAATTCAGAGAGAGGAATGAAGTCTCTCGCGGTCTGTTATCACGTGGCCCCTGGTAATATCCTTTATGGTAGGACATCCAGATAGTGCCATCGTAAGCTCGAGCTCATCCTTCAGCATCTCAGTGACCCTTTTAACTCCAGTTTCCCCTTTTGCCGCCAACCCATATACAACAGGCCTTCCTATCTAAAGTTAGAAGACCACTACTAGGAGAATGTCAACAATTGTCCTAGTTCACTTATTCAGTCGTGATTCAGGTGTTTTGGTAATGTGAAAAGACAGTTTCTACAAACTAATTAGAAGATTTTACCAGTACTGCTTCTGCCCCAAGGGCCAATGCCTTGAAAACATCTGTTCCTCGCCACACTCCTCCATCAACAAAAACAGGGACTTTCCCTTTGATCGCATGAACAACCTACAAACGAAGGTTTAGTAGAAATACTGATGACCAAAATGATGTTTTAGAGATGACTAGCTGCAGCACATGTTCATGCATTTGTAAAAATAGAGAGAAACAGAATACAACTGTGCTTTATTTTCAGGGGGCAAAACCGGGTGTATTTACTCTTATCCAGTGTTTACAAATGCTCCAAGATCTGGAATCTATTATTAAGCCTGCCGATCAAAGGAATTCGTAAAAATAGGCACCTCTTCCAGAACTGATATCGTGGCTGCAGTATAATCTAGCTGTCGAGCTCCATGATTTGGGACAATTATCCCAGCTACACCTGCTTCCACTGCCTTAATTGCTGCCAATGAGGGCATACAAGCTTGTTGATAAGGTTGTCGAGTATGCAACAACCAATAGTAGTAACAACAGATAGAGTATACTGAGAAGCAAAATAGTAAATTCCAATAGACGAATAAGATGCTTCAATCCAATATCAGAGAACACAAGGTCTTCATAGCAGCGAGGACAAATTGAAGACAGGCAGTATCCCATTACCATCAAAATTCCTAACTGATATGACTTCCCCGCCCCCTAGAATAACTATTATGTTTGAATTACCAAACCAATTGAGGCATAATATTGTTTCCTTTCAAGATGAGCTGACGAATCTTCAAAGTTTAATGCGAGAGGTTCGCCCTCTACAAAGCTAGATATACAATCAAACCTCAAGCTATCACAAATTTCTCCCGCATTTTACGGATTTTTTTCAGTTCTACGTTAAGCCTCAAAACTGCTTTTCACACTATCTCGAACTTCAATGTCGATTAAATCATACCTAACTAATGGGGCTGCTTATACAGTGACGAACTGGCAATGATGTGGTGTTCACTATAGAAATGGGTTCACACCTCATATACAATAAAACAACAGCACACATGCGAATCTGCACTATTACATATCCCTGACGAACTCCATCAAATCTAGCACAATTGAGAATGCAAAAATAGATTTTGGCACAGTTGACAAGTTCTCAAGCCATCACTCTTGACTTTCCTTTTATATTCATTGCAAATGCAATGATCCATTTGCTCATGCATGCATTTGCAGTTAAAATTTTTATCTATCAAAAGAATCAATGCCAAATTAGCTCAAAGACAGACGGTCTTGTCAGTTGCTAGTTATGGCTACCCTGCCTGAAAATTGGTTGACAGATTGATTTGAAGCAAATATTGAAGTTTTAAGTAATATCTTCTCGACTTTGGGATAAAATTAAAAGGAACCTTAAAGTACAAATTTTTCCAGGTCTTGAGCAATCTTAATGTAAGACTTCTCATTTAAGCTAGTGTTATTAAAACCAAACTGGAAGGTTTTAGCTACAGTTTTTGGCCGATTTCGATCAGTTCAACCTGGTATGGGACAGCAATTCAGCTCAATCTCTGATCTGGTTTTGGAACTCTGGTTTAAGCAATGAATATGCTAAGTAAGCTCTAGTTGAATAGGACACAAAACGGTCTTCAGACGAATCCTCAACCACTTTTCTTTGAGAATACAATCCTAGATCTTACCATCTTCATGTGTAAGAACTCCCTTGATCAGAATCGGCGATTTTGTTATAGATCTCAACCATCCAATGTCCTGCAGCATTGTAATTTAGTTACATGACCAACAAGATACCAAATAAAGCGAATAGAGTCATTAAAAAGATCCACTTATCATTTGTAGGTCATGGCCACAAGGGAAAATTGAATGAAAAAAGTCATCATAAGATAGCTATTAAAACTATTTCTACACTGGATGGCACTCCCTCACACATCTCATTCGTTCATAAAACCCGATTCTTCTGATGAAAACATCATCCCAGAATAAATTTCAAGGAGTAATTACAAAGTAATTTAAGATGGTATGGAGGCTCACCTTCCAACTCAAAGACGCATCAACAGTTGAATAAGCAAAAGCTTTTACTCTTGAACCGTCATCCTGCAAATTGCAGCGGAGGCAAAGGAAAAGGGGAGAGCGAGTGAGAGAGATGTTATGCTTAATTTCTGCACTTACCAAACTATAAAAAATTTGAGATATCTCCTTACCAAAAAAAAAAAATTTGAGATATCTCTCTAGAGGTTATTTAGGCAGTGAAAATGTCTTCATCGATCAAGTATTAACCATACATTTCCTGTTGCCTGACGTTATCCGAACCGTTTGTTTCTTTGCCCAAGATACGAGGGTAAAAAATTATGTTCTCTAAGCAAATGAACTATAAAAAAACTCCTCCAGAAACAGATATAATCAAACTGAACAGTTATAGAGAAAAGAGCGTCAAAGAATACAATACTCTTTGCCCCAAGGGCAAGCTTTGCTTAAGGGAAGCACAGAGCTCACTGGGATAAACCTCCTCTAGGCTGAGCCTAATACCTTGACATCCACAAACATGAACGCCATAGTGAGCATTTCTTTTTGTTTTGCTACCTTGCTAATGCCAAAGAGAGTTACAGACACCGAAAAAATAGAGCAGCATATAGCAGGGTATGAAGATAATGACGAAAACAGCCTCCATGCCATCAAGGAGATTGGTCGATGAGATATTAAGAACATAGATACCTCCCCATGCGTGCATCTCCATTGAATAGGTAAAAATATATTGCTATTGTGAGATCCTCAAGTAGAAAAGAAATCATTCACTCACAGAGACAACTTGAGTTGAGAGTAGACCTTCAAAATTCTTCAACTGAGGTGCTATCATTCTGTCGTAGAGAAAGAGAGAGAGAGCTTAACTGTACCCGAAGTTTGATTTATGACCATGATATCCATGCCCCAGGGGGATGGGGGAGGGAGCGAGAGAGGAAGAGGAAAGCATTTTACTTGTTCTTTATGTCTGCCTCCCTTCTGCCAAGTCTGGGAACATCGACAGTAAGAACAATAGCTTTGTATCCACTTCTTTCAGCCCTTTGTACTAGCTGAGCTGTAATATGCCGTCTCTTGTATACCTGCATAAGGAGATGCATTGATTATTGAGATAAAATCTTAATGGAGAATGTACAAAGCCAAGAAAACTGGGGATTCTTAATCAAATAGATGCTTACATATATTTGAAAGAATCGAATGGCATCACAGCTGGACGCGACCTCTTCCACAGTGCACATAGACATATATGAAAGAATCTAGAGTAAAAAGTTGAATTGAGTATGTCATAGCAGCAAAATTAAGATTAAAAATATTTGGTTATCTATTACCATGATGACATTACATGCAGCAGCTGCTCTTGCGGTGGCAACCTCTCCTGGAAGACGGAAAAATTGCATCGCTACAATCAAAACAAGCAAACGTGCAAAAGAGTTCCCCCAAGAAAATTCAGGTTTCACACCTTCAGGATGTGCTAACTTATGCCTAGCAGTTGGAGCAATCATAATGGGGGCAGAAACGTTATAGCCCAATATAGTAGTTGACAAACTAATTTCGCTCACATCAATGAGGATTCTCGGCATAAACCTACCAGAAATACATGTGTTGAGAATTACCGAACAACATAATATGGTTGCTGCAGATTTTAATCTGACCAGCATTCATTAGGCATTACGTTATTCTGCGAAAGGCTTCCGCGTTTTCTTGAAGTGTATACTGGTCTTCCGTTCCACCCGCATAAAAATCATAGTACATTTTCGGAAGGGCTAGCCTAGCCAATTCTTGATACTCATTCACGTTGACATGATCCTCAGCCATGTTTCCTGAATGAAAATTTAAGCATTTATTACCTCAACAGCTTAACAATTTCTCCTGAGGGTGCTGCTAAGCTAACTGCACCATATAGCGGCACCTTTTTTACCACACACTCACGCGAATGAAGGTCTAAAACAATTTACCATAAACTAATGGCAGAATTGCAAGTTAAATGTGCCCACACGAATTCACACTATTACTAAACAGGAGAGTGAAAGGTATGGAATAGGGATCGTAATGCACCCACTTCCCTCGACGTATCCATGGCTACCAGCCTACAACTACAGAACACGAACACATCAAAACGCGTAGCCCAACCGTATTCAGAATCTTACGCTAGCCTAACCACTCCTACATGACGGTCAATAATCGTTTCGCTAGTCATGACTATGCAAGGATAAAAAAAAAGAATGCGATCTTTCTGCATCGCAGACGCTCAGCCATACGTATGCTCAAAAAAGTGCAGAGCAGGGGAGTTGCTCTGCGCTGCGCACTCGAATCAAAGAAGAGAGACGATCCAAAGGGTACGATGGTTCGCAGGATAAGCAAATGGGAGCCTTGGGTTTTCACACGAACGGAGCAAAACCTCTGGCCGAATGACTGGAGTCACTCTAAAGAATGACAATGAAGTTACTGTTGGGGATGGGGGATTTACTGATTACCAGCGATCGCGTCCAATGAAAGGCCGCCCGCCATTATTCTCTTTGGGTCAGTACCGTTAAAAACAAAACTGATACATGATACGTAAATTTATCTCAAATTAATTTTTTAATCACTAAAAATTATACTTATAATAAATTTATCCTGAACTAATATTTTGATTATCAAAAACTTTAAATTTGTACATTTATGACAAATTTACCCTCCTTTAAATTGGATTAATATCACGAGAAATCACAAATTAATATAATAAATAAAGGGTAAAATCCCAAACTGGTACACCCGTCAATTGCCAATTTGAATTTTTGATGGTCAAAGTATCAATTTGTGATAAAATTATCTTATATGTACCAATTTGAGATTTTTCGTGATAGTAACCATTCTCTTTTCCATTTTCTTCCGTCTTTTCTGTTCTATAAGCCGAAAGAGTCTGATACTCAATATATTCACTTTAACATTGTAGCAGATCCTGGGGAGTATATGACTGGGGAATCTCTTATCAGATTTTGCGGGACAATCTTCAATCTGGTTTGTCAATGTGAACTTTGTGTTGGAATAAAAGGCTAAAATTAAATTTCATTGAAGTACACGCGGGAATAAAGGTTATGACCTGCTGGCATGGGCTACGAGGGTAGAAGTATCAGCTAATAAACAGAGGCCCCAAGACTGCAGAGGAGAGAGTAGAGGATGAGTAGGGGCAAAAATATGTTCGCAGGAAATGCACGACCACAGCAGCATCCATTTTATTAACAACTTCCTAAAAGCACTTATGTCTGTACTTAATATTACCCAGCCATCTTGTGGTGGGGAAGAACTGTTCTTTCGTATCATTTAGAGGGGAGTTCGTGATGATACATACTTGACAAAGTTGATTGGAAGGTATTAGAGTCGGAAGACGCGGATCAATTTCATGTCTTACAAGGATTTTATGCTTCAAATTTAATGCACAAAAGTACTATTGAACATTAACATCTGCTAAAGAACCATGAAAAAACCAGCTTTGACTATTAAAAATCTATACTGATGCTCTTACTCTGACTCCAATTTTATTTTTGATAATGAAACATGACAACTAATTACATAACATGGCAAACTACAAGTGATAAAACAACAATGGTATCGTCCATTTGACTATGTAAATCTCATTTTCATGGATGCTGCAGCGTGAATTCAGAGAGAGGAATGAAGTCTCTCGCGGTCTGTTATGACATGGCCCCTGGTGATATCCTTTATGGTGGGACATCCAGATAGTGCCATTGTAAGCTCGAGCTCATCCTTCAGCATCTCAGTGATGCTTCTAACTCCAGTTTCCCCTTTTGCCGCCAACCCATATACTACAGGCCTTCCTATCTGTAGTAAGAAGACCACTATTTAAGAGAATGTCAACATTTGCCCTAGGGCACTTGTTCATTTGTGATTCAGGTGTTTTGGTAATGTGAAAAGATAGTTTATACTAACTTGGCACGATATTATCACGTAAATACCAGGGTTTGTTACGATACCCCTTACTAATATAACACATAGTCCACATCGGGAAATATCAGGAATGTGCCAAACTAATTATAAAAGATTGTACCAGTACTGCTTGTGCCCCAAGGGCCAATGCTTTCAAAACATCTGTTCCTCGCCGCACTCCTCCATCAACAAAAACAGGGACTTTCCCTTTGACTGCATGAACAACCTACAAACGAAGGTTTAAAAAGTCATGACCAAAATGCTGTTTGATATAGATGACTTGCTGCAGCACAAGCTTTCATGCATTTGTAAAAATAGAGGGATACAGAATGCCATGTGCTTTATTTTCAGGAGGCAAAACCAGGTGCATTTACTCTTATCCAGTGTTTACAAATGCTCCAAAATTCTAGAATCTATTATTAAACCTGCCGGACAAAGGAGTTAGTAAAAGTAGGCACCTCTTCCAGAACTGATATCGTGGCTGGACTATAATCTAGCTGTCGAGCTCCATGATTTGAGACAATTATCCCAGCAGCACCTGCTTCCACTGCCTTAATCGCTGCCAATGAGGGCATACAAGCTTGTCGAGTATGCAACAACCAATAGTAGTAACAACAGATACAGTATACTGAGAAGCAATATGAAATTCCAATAGATGAATAAGATGCTTCAATCCAATATCAGAGAACACAAGGTCTTAATAGCAGCGATGACAAAATGAAGACAGACAATATCCCATTACCATTAAAATTCCTAACTCATACGACTTCCCCAACAGAATGACTATGGTGTTTGAACTACCAAACTAATTGAAGCATAATGTTGTTTCCTTTCAAGATGAACTGAAGAATCTTCAAAGTTTAATGCTAGAGGTCACACTCTACAAACTAGATATACAATCAAACCCCGAGTTATCACAAAATTCTCCTTTGCTGAACGGATTTTTTTCAGTTCTACATTAAGCCTCAAACTGGTTTTCACACTATCCTGACCTTCAATGTCAATTTAATCGTGTACCCAACTGTTCGCTATGGTGTCGATGTATTGTATATTACTGATGGAACTGTTTATACAGTGATGAACTGGCAACGACATGGTGCTCACTATAGACCTCATCTAAAATAAAACAACAACACGCACACGAATCTGCTCTATTGAAAAAACCTAATGAATTCCATCAAATCTAGCACAAATCAGAATGCAAAAATATATTTTGGCACAGGTGACGAGTTCTCAAGCCGTCATTCTTGACTTTCATTTTATTTTCCTTGTAAATGCAATGATCCCTTTGCTCATGTATGCATATGTGGTTAAAATTTTTATCTATCAAAAGAATCAGTGCCAAATTAGATCAAAACAGACGGTCTTGTCAGTTGCTACTTATGGCCACGCTACCTGAAAATTGGTTGACAGATTGATTTAAAGCAATTAATGAAGTTCAAGGTAATATCTTCTAAACTCTGGGATAAAATTAAAAGGATCCTTAAAGTACAAATTTTTCCAGGTCTTAAGCCATCTTAAAATAAGACTTCTCGCTTAAGCTAGTGTTTTCAAAACCAAACCAAAAGGTTTTTAGTCACAGATTTTAGCCGATATCAATTAGTTCAACCTGGCATGGGACAGCAATTGGGCTCAATCTCTAATCTAGTTCTGGAACACTGGTCCAAGCAATGAATATGCTAAGTAAGCTATATTTCAAATTAAGACACAAAACAGTCTTCAGACGAATCCTCAACTGCTTTTCTATTAGAATACAATCCTAGATCTTACCATCTTCGTGTGTAAGAACTCCCTTGATCAGAATCGGCAATTTGGTAATTGATCTCAACCATCCAATGTCCTGCAGCATTGTAATTTAGTAACGTGACAACCAAGATACCAAATAAAGCAAACAGAGACATTATAAAGATCCAGTTATCATTCGTAGATCATGATGACAATCGAAAATTGAATGAAAAAAGTCACCGTAAGATAGCTATCAAAACTATTTCCACACTGGATGACACTACCTCACACATCTCATTCATTCAGAAAACACGATTCTTTTGATGAAACATCACCCAGAAAAAATTTCAAGGATTAATTACAAAGTAATTTAAGATGGTATGGAGGTTCACCTTCCAAGTCAAAGAAGCATCCAAAGTTGAATCAGCAAAAGCTTGTACGTTTGAACCCTCATCCTGCAAATTGCAGCGGAGGCAAAGGAAAAAGGGAGCGAGAGTGAGAGAGATGTTATGCCAAATTTCTGCAATTAACAAACTATAAAAATTTGAGTCATCTCTATAAGGTTATTTAGGCAGCGAAAATGTTTTCAATGGTCAAGTATTGACCATACATTTTCTGTTGCCTCACGTTATCCAAACCCTTTGTTTCTTGTTTCTTCACCTCAAGATACAACGGCAAAATTATGTTCTCTAAGCAAATGAACTATAAAAAAAACTCCTCCAGACACAGATATAATCAAACGGAACAGTTATAGAGAAAAGAGAGCCAATGAATACAATACTCTTTGCCCCAAGGGCAAGCTTTGCACAAGAGAAGCACAGAGCTCATTAAATAAATCTCCACTAGGCTGAGCCTAATACCATGATATCCACAAACATCAATGCCACAGTGAGCATTTCTTTTTGTTTTGCTACCTTGCTAATGTCAAAGAGAGTTACAAACCCTGAAAAAATAGAGCAGCATATAACAGGGTACACAGATAATGACGAAAACAGCCTCCATGCCCATCAAAGGAGATTGGTCAATGAGATATTAGTAACATAGATATATCCCCATGCATGAATCTCCATTGAATAGGTAAAATTATATTGCTATCGACAGATCCTCAAATAGGAAAGAAATCAGTCACTCACAGAGACAACTTGAGTTGAGAGTAGACCTTCAAAATTCTTCAACTGAGGCGCTACCATTCTGTCATAGAGAGAGAGAGAGAGAGAGAGAGAGAGAGAGAGAGAGAGTTAACTGTACCCGAACTTTGTTTTATGACCATGATATCCATGCCCCAACGGGGGTGGGGGAGCAAGAGAGGGAGAGGAAAGCATTTTACTTGTTCTTTATGTCTGCCTCCCTTCTGCCAAGTCTGGGAACATCGACAGTAAGAACAATTGCTTTGTATCCACTTCTTTCAGCTCTTTGTACAAGCTGAGCTGTAATATCCCGTCTCTTGTATACCTGCATAAGAGATGCACTCATTATGGAGATGAAATCTTAATGGAGAATGTACAAAGCCAAGAAAACTGGAGATTCTTAATCAAATAGATGCTTACATATATTTGAAAGAATCGAATGGCATCACAGCTGGACGCGACCTCTTCCACAGTGCACATAGACATATATGAAAGAATCTAGAGTAAAAAGTTGAATTGAGTATGATATAGCAGCAAAATTAAGATAAAAAATATTTGGTAACATATTACCATGATGACATTACATGCAGCAGCTGCTCTTGCGGTAGCAACCTCTCCTGGAAGATGGAAAAATTGCATCACTAAAATCAAAACAAGCAAACGTGTGAAAGAGCTGCTCCAAGAAAATTCAGGTTTCACACCTTCAGGATGTGCTAACTTATGCAAAGCAGTTGGAGCAATCATAATGGGTGCAGCAACGTTATAGCCCAATATAGTAGTCGACAAACTAATTTTGCTCACATCAATGAGGATTCTCGGCCTAAACCTGCCAGAAATACATGTGTTGAGAATTAACAAACAACATAATACGGTTGGTGCAGATTTAATCTGACCAGCATTCATTAGGCATTACGTTATTCTGCAAAATGCTTCCACATTTTCTTTAAGTGTATACTGGTCTTCCGCTCCACCTGCAAAAAAATCATAGTACATTTTCGGAAGGGCTTGCCTAGCCAATTCTTGATACTCATTCACGTTGACAGGATCCCCGGCCATGTTTCCTGAATGAAAATATAAAGTGTTATTAACTCAACAGCTTAACAATTTCTCCTACATGTGACTCCGCGAAGTTTGATTGTCAACAAAAAGGTGACCACAACAATAGCCCTACAAATACTCTTCCCTTCATATATGGTCCTAGAATCAAGATGCAACTTATAAACAAATACCGACGTAACTAGCAAAATCATATCATCTCACTTCAAAGTATGTCACTAGTCCATTGCATACCCTTACTAAGAGCACGCAAAATAACACATCAAGCAAATGAACCTACAAAAGATCTAAAACAATTTACCATAAACTAACAGCATATCTGCAACTTGAATGTGCCTGCACGAATTCACACTAAATCTAAACAGAAGAGCGAAAAGTATGGAATGGCGATCGTAATGCACCCACATCCTCGCCGTATCTACAGCTATAACTACAGCACGCCAACATATCAAAACGCAATCAACATCAAAACCACACGCGGCTCATAAATTTAGAACAGAATCACGTCCTTGTCATATTCTGCCAGTAATCAACCCAAAGTCATTTCGCACATGGCACCATACTTCATCAACACGCTCGCCGTTCCTCTAAAGCTCGGGTGACTCATGAAGTCACACATAGCCGAACCTTGAACCTATCAGCACGCTACGACGATCTCGAGAACGAGTCGGCGCAACCATTTCAGGATCTTGCGCTAGCCCAACCACCCACATGAACCTTTATCACAAACTCCCACATGACGACGGGTCTATGAATTTTTCGCCAGTCATGACCGCATGCGCACCAAAAAAAAAAAAAATGCGATCTTTCCGCATCGCAGACGCTACGGATGCTCAAGAAAGTACAGAGCAGACGAGTCACTCTACGCACTCGAATCAAAGAAGAGAGAGACGATCGAAATGGCACGATGTTTCGCAGGATAAGTAAGATCGAACCTTGGGTTTTTTCACACGATCGGCGCAAAATCTCTGGTTCAAGGAAGAAACTCGATTTAGGACAGTGAGGAGTTGAGCGATACGAGGAAGTTGACTCTCTTCAGTATATATTATAATGAAGCTATGGATGAGGATAATTCATGCACGTCCCATTCCATATTTAAAATCATTTCTTATGTTTATTCTTCCTTCTTTTTTTCAATTTTATTAAAAGACGAAAACGTCCCTTCCAAATAACATGTTTTTTCATGGAAGCCAGTTCTTCCGCACCCGTTACATTCCCTTGGTATTTATCCTCTTCTGAACTTATTTCCAACATTACATTCTGAGCAAGCACTAATCATGTATTAGAATAAAGAAAGATTAGTTTTATCTGCAAATTGTATACTTTACTTCCCTAGATTATTTTCATGGTTGTGAATTTTTCGACTTCCATTTTTGGTACAAATTTACGAGAATTTACTCAAAGACTGAATATTTTGGTTGATGTTTGCATTATCCACGATTTATTCATCTTTGATTGTATTGTTTTTTGTTGTACAGTCACTATGGAAAGATAATATTATTTTCTGCTTAAATGTATCTATTGATGATCAAAGTACGAATGGTGAAAATAGCAATCGATCATCTCAACAAGTTCATTTGAAACTTTACTGGGTAATTTTCTAACACGAGAGGATCTTTTGAGAAGTGTGCGGACGTATCTTCTTGTTTAAGGTTATTTTGTTTCTATAAAAAGTTCAAAGAGAGACAAATATGTTCTTCTTAGTTGTGATATGAAAGGTAATTATCATGATGGACATAATATTCCTACTGCAAGTCAGAAGAAAGACCGAGTCTCCTTTGATTGATTGGCCTTTTAGAGTGTTTTGCTATAAAAAGAAGAACGGATCATGATCACTCAAAATATTGAATGCATCACACGATAAATAATTAAAAATTAAATTATTACATTCACCAAATAAAATGAAAGTTGAGCGGTTAAAATACATGAACTACAACATAATGAAGCATATTAAAATTATAATTGTAAATGATTTTTTTCACTCTTACTTATGCTTAAGTTGTTTTTTGAGTAATAGTTTCTCAGTACAAAAAAAAAAAAAAGAAATAGACAACTCATTAACTTAGTTTTTTTTTGTTGTAAACACAATAATTAGTTAGCGGGAAAAGTGCCAAAAAAGTCTTAAATCTTTTACATTAGTGCCAATTCAGTCCTAAACCTTTTTTTGGTGACAATTCAGTCCTAAACCTTTTGCATTGGTGCCAATTTAGTCCTAAACCTTTTTTTGGTGTCAATTAAGTCCTAAACCTTTAAAATTGGTGCCAATTCAGTCCTAAACCTTTTGTTTTTGTGCCAATTTAGTCCTTCTGGCCAATTTAGACCGGAATTTGCCTAGGTGGACGCATGCCGGCCGGTCACCGGCGCCGACGTGGACAACTTTAATATTTTTTAAATATTTTTTTGAATTTTTCTTTTTTTTCCACTTTTTTTTTTGGTTGACTTCCTCCTTCCTCTGGCCGGTCGCCGGTCCGGCGACCGGCCAGAGGCCAGAGGCCGGCGAGCTCGAGCTCGCCGGCCACTGGCGAGGACGGCCTCGCCATGGTCGGGCGAGGCTCGTCCTCGCCGGACTGGCGACCGGCCAGAGGAAGGAGGAAGACAACAAAAAAAAAAAGTGGAAAAAAAAAGAAAAAAAAAGGAAAAAAATAAAAATTCAAAAAAATATTTAAAAAATATTAAAGTTGTCCACGTCGGCGCCACGTCGGCGCCGGTGACCGGCCGCCGGCCGGCAGGCGTCCACGTAGGCAAATTCCGGTCTAAATTGGCCGGAAGGACTAAATTGGCACAAAAACAAAAGGTTTAGGACTGAATTGACACCAATTTAAAAATTTTAGGACTTAATTGGCACCAAAAAAAGGTTTATGACTAAATTGGCATCAATGCAAAAGGTTTAGGACTGAATTGGCACAAAAAAAAGGTTTAGGACTGAATTGGCACTAATGCAAAAGGTTTATGACTTTTTTGGCACTTTTCCCATTAGTTAGCTATCTACCAAATAAACTATTTTTGGGAAAAGAGGTACACTAATTTTGTTATAAATGGAGAAAGAAAAGGAAAAAACCAAAAATTAAAAAAATTAAAAGAAGGCAAGCAATAATCTTAAATAAAAAAAATGGGCCCCTTATTTAATTTAATAAATGTTGTTTAAGAGGAGTACGAATATTTTCGTTTTAGTAAAATTGAAATAAAAGAAAACGAAGAAAAAAAAGTAAGAAATAATTTTTAATCAAGAGTGAGACCCGTGAGAGATAATGTAGTCAAATCAATGTAAAAGTGGATGTCATAAGCTAATAAGGGGTGCAAATAGTCATAAGGAAAGCCTATATTAGTTCGTATCAATATACAATTATGGATATACAATATGTTGTGAATCAGTTAAACAAGTTAAACTATATTTCTCTATCAAATTTATGACTCAATCTATTATAGACGTGATTCATCATGGAGCGCATCGATCGCAATCTTACACGATATTATCGATAGTAGGTCTCATGTTGATCTTCCATAATCAAATTTGTACAGTACTATTTACTGTGAATAGAGTATTCGAACTTGAAGCAAAAGAAAGTGAAATAATGCATTATTCGCGTTGTTCAAATTCTCTTCGCCAACTTGACGTATTGATCCATGACATTCAGTTTTTTGGCCAACGTGCTTCTTAGCCATATGCTGTTATGGAATTTTGCGAATTTAAGATTGCAGAGAGGTCTTTAACTCTACGCCAAATATATCTGTTTACGTAGCTAGATCCGTCAAAGACTGCTTACTAGCTCCATCGTGGAGAAGCTCCATCACCATAATCCCACCGGAGGTGCTGGAGATCTAAAATCTCACCCATCGGAGTGAAAAGTCCTTGGACCACCATCACAAACAAGTTCAAACTCAGGAGTCACGACATTGTAAGAATAGGAACCTGCATCATAAGTCCATTACCATTTGTGGTTGGTGCGGCGTAAAACTATCAAAATGGATCATAAACTCATTTCTTAAACCATATATCAATCAATGGGTCGTAAATGGGTGTAAACATAATATGAGTGTTAAATGGATCGTAAATGGGTTTATAACTTATCTAAACTCGACTCATTTCTCTCACCCTCATTTAATCTCGTGCTCCCTCATTCTGCACTCTCATCTCAGTTTGGGTGTGAATCTTCCTAGATTGAATTAAATATGAAAGTGTTTTAGTAATATAAGTCGAGTCAAGTATGAGTCATTTGATTTGAATGAATCAAAACGGGTTAAATAAATCTATTTAGATTTGACCATTTTCGATCCGACCTAACCCACTCATTCGACAACTCATTGGCTTTACGTGAGGTAATAGCGGTGTGACAATTATCAAGAAGTCCAAAAAGGTGTTTTTGGTCTGTCTTGGTAGTTATTCTCGAGGCCTTTTCATTTTGGTGTGTTGACTTTTCAATCTATCATCAATAATGGAAACACATACAGGAGTGGTTAAGACTCGAGCCAATGCCCTCTTTTTCCTCGAGAGGGGCGTCCGGTGTTACTCTGGGTTTAATGTGTTGAATGTAGTAATTCGTGGACAGTGACATGGAGCTCGATTGCATCAGGGATTGGTTTAGCTGCGGGCCAATTAGGAGCATCAATGCTGCAAGTGGTCCGTCATCAGCTGTTATTTGGTCTGAATCTTCACCGATTTCCACACTTACAGCTGCAGGCAATAACAATGTATCCCTCTTGTTGGATCGGCTAATCGGCTCGCCACTGCAAACCCGGAATAAGATGTCGCGCTACCTTGTACAAGCTAGAGCACTGAAATGATCCTGCTTATTATGCCGTAGTCAAGTATATTTTCCATCACCAATGGTATAATAAATATGAGGTCGAGTCAGATAACCAGCTTTTCGAATCTTTATCCTTGCATAAGATGAATCCACTAGAACATACGGAACCCAAATGCTTTCTATCATCCAGAATCTTTCTCCAAGCAAGTATCTGCTGGTGGGATCATCCGTTTGTGGAAGACTCTGGGCTGTACAAAATAGATCACTGCGGCCAATGGCCTGGGATGTTTACAACTTAACCCCGGACTTTGTTTGCACCATCATCCTCCAACTGAGTTTACGTAGCAAACACGGCCATGGTTTTAGAGCTAGTGATTAGAGGGAGATGAACTTCACTCATTTCATTTTCTTTATCTGGGTTCCAATTTTGGCTCTGGGAAAATGTATATGACTTGGAACCTCTTACCAGATTCTGCGGGACAATGTATAATCTGGTTTGTCAATGTTCTTGAACCTTGTGTTGGAATAAAAGGCTAAAATTAAATTTCATTGGAGTACATGCAGGAATAATCGCTATTACCTGCTGGCTTGGGCTACGAGGGTAGAAGTAGCAGCTAATAAACAGAGAGTCCCCAAGGCTGCAGGAGGATAGTAGAGGATGACTAGGGGCAAAAATGTGCTCTCAGGACTTGCACAAACACAGGAGCATCCAATCCATTAATCACTTCCGAAAAGCACTCATGTCTGTAATTAATTTTACCCAGCCTTCTGCTGGTGGGAAGCACTGTTCTTTCGCATCATTTAGAGGGGCATTCGTGATGATACTGACTTGACAAAGTTGATTGGAAGGTAGTAGAATCAAAAGAGGCAGATCAATTACATGTCTTACAAGGATTTTATGCTTCAAATTTGATGCTCAAAAGTACTATTTGACATTAACATCTACTGATGAACCAAGAAAAAACCAGCTTTGACTATCACAAATCTATACTGATGCTCTGACTCTGACTCCAATTTTATTTTTGATCATGAAACATGACAACTATTTACATAACATCGCAAACTACAAGCGATAATACAACAAGGGTATTGTTTATTTACCTATGTGAATCTTATCTTCATGGATGCTGCAGCGCGAATTTAGAGAGAGGAACGAAGTCTCTCACGATC